TTTCCTGTGTACTGTGGTAGTATTTTGTCCTTGCCTCATGTATTATGAGATACTGAAGGTGGAGGGTAAACAGAATGGTGGGAATTGGACACTACAACAAACAATGAATCACTGAATAATCTGGGAAATCTGGTCCTGAGAATCGAAAATCTATGTGCAAAATGATGATCATCTCTGAATATTTAAAGGGCAGTCCTGGAAGATACTTTTTACATGTAGATTCAGAGGCCAGAATCAGAGTCAATGGATGAAAGTCATTAGGATGCAGATTTGAGGCTTAGCCCCAGGGAACAGCTTAAGTCAACCATGAAATATGTCCTGCCTTGATGAGATATCCAGCTGCCCATCACTACATGCTTTGGCAGGGGTTATTAGACAGTGTAGTTATAGAGATTGCTCAGGGGAGCCCTGCATGGGATGCAAGATTAGAATAAATGACTTTCTAAACTCCTTTTCTAAACTCCTGAATATTTGTACGTATGTTTTCACCCACTCATAGTTGGTTATTTTTTCAATTTGCCTTTGCCCCTTTCTCTTATCTCGAACTCACCAGATTAGCTGGTTAGCTGACTTTGAACTATGATCTCTGGCTCCTCTTTTTCCTCTTGTTTTCTAGAAATTAAACTTTTGATATAATGTTATAATAAGTTATTCTTATAAACTAAATTTTTTTCTGGTGCTTGAAGATTTTAATTGTAAAACATAGCAGATGTTCAAAACTGTATGAAAATTTATGTTTGGTTTAATATACAAAACAGACTTAGATGTAAATCCTGCCTTCTAAGCCAAGAAATAAAATTTTATCAATACATTAGGGTCTTCCTTGTTCTTTTCTCTCACCCACCAATATTCTGTAAATAATTTCCTTGTTATCTTTATAGTTTTACCTTATAGTTTTAATATGTTTATATTAAGATAGATCCCTTAATAAAATAGTGTTTGGCTTTGATCGACGTTAAATTTTGGATAAAAAGAAGCATATTACTACATTCTTTTTTACCTTTTTAGCACGGTGTTAGGTTTTTTGAGATTTGTTTATGTTGAAGCACATAGCTGTGACCCATTCACTTTTACTGCTTGTTGAATTTAGTTGTTTGTACCACATACTTTTACAGTCCATTTACTATAGATGGATTTTTAGATTGTTTCCAGTCTTTTGTTCTCATGAATAATCTTATTGTATAAGAGAATTTCAAGGGCCTTGTCTGACCCTGCAGTTGTTGAGCAAGTATGTTTACCTTACTTACTTCATGGTAATGCCTGTTTTCCAATGTGGTTGTACCAGTAGAGAGTAGGAATCCACCTCTGCTCCTTATCCTTGTCAACACTTATTGTCCTTGTTCTCAATTTTTGCCAATTTGGTGAGTCTGTATACATTTCTTTGTGATTTTTAATTTTCATTTTCTTAATTATTAATGAGTAGATCTTTTCATATACATTCTTCTTAAATGCTTCTTTTATTCCTGGTTATCTCTTATCCTCCCCCATTCCCTTTTGATTACATCTTCTTTTAAAAACTGATTTATATTTATGTATTATGGATAATTTTTTTGGTTATATGGGCTGTAATTATTTTTTGTTTATAGCTTGTGTTTATATTCTGTATGAGACATTCTTTATTTCAAAGTCAATCAGTCTCTTGTTTGCTCTCCTAAAATCTTTATACTTTTTGCCTTTTACACTTTTATTTTATGAAAAGTTAAAGAAGTCTTCAAAGACATAGAAAAGGAAAATAAGATGAAGTGGACCCTTCCCCATATATCTATCACTCATCTTCAAAAAGTCCAATTTTGTTTCATCTTTTTTTCCCCTCTTCACTTCTTTTTTTAGGGGGAAATATTTTAAGCAGATCTCAGCAACAAATTATTCACCTGCAGAGATTTCAGTTTTACTGATATTTTATCTATTTGATGAGTTAGAGAGGTATTTCATTGTTATTTTATCAATGTTCATTGTTTAATTAACTCTAAAATGTTTATAATTATTTTTCTGGTGAATATAATGTTTCACTTTATGAAGGAACTGTCTTTATTTCTCCTAATTCTTTTTGCCTTGAAGTCTCTTATATCTGATATTTAATATAACCGTACTAGCTGTGGTATTTCTAATTATGCTTTTATTTTCAATTTTTTAATATTATTACATCTTAACATGTGTCTTATAAGCATCATATAGCTGGCTTCTGACTCTTTACCTAGCCTATTTTTGTAATTTTAACTATAAAAATTAGTTCTTTAAATATATCATGAATAATGAATGATGCATTTTGATTTTTTCCTAATATTTTGTGCTTTTGTCTTTTTCTCCTTTTTTGCCTAAAAAAAAAAATCATTTTCCCTATTAGTTTCAAAATGATAGTGAAAGGGTAAAGTTTCTAAGCTGCAAAGCCTGAGTTAAAATGTAAAGGACTAGGTATTGTAAAGTTTCTGAACTGCACACAGAACCTGAAATTCCTGAGGCAGTTAAGACAATGCCCGGTACTGACCATCTAGTTGTTAAATAACCTGGACCCTGTGCAGTTTGGCATGTAGGCATTCAGGGCCCAAACCAATCAGTTTGAATGAACTCCCCTTCTTAGGACTGACCTATCACTCCCGCCCGACCTGTTCCCACCAATGAATGTACTAATCATGTTTGGGAATTGTTGTTTGATTTTCCCTCGGTATATGATGATTTGTTAAAGGGGACCATGATGTATTGTAAAGTCCCTGCCCTCCCTAAAAAAGTGTACTTAAGCACTACTCAACCCCTACTTGGGGCTCTTGGCCGCTCTCCCTTCTTGAGTGAGCCTGGAGCCCAGCGCGCTGGATTGGATCCTCAATAAATCCCCTTTTGCTGTTGCATGAGCTGGTCTCTTGGTGATCTCTTCCTCCGACGTTCGCTGGACCCTTACATTAGATTCTGCTTTTCAAGATAATCTCAGTAACTTATCATGTATGTTCAAATTAGCACAGTATTAAGTTCATTAATGTCTGTTTTATTTAAACATTTTAATTTCAACCTCTCTTGTATACTATCATTGTAATGCATTTAATTTCCTGTTTTAAAAGATCTAATTACTCAGAGTGCTATTATTGTCTTTGTGTTTTGTTAACATTACCCACATATTCATGCCTTTTCCCACTTTTTTGTGTCACCACAGATTGACATTTCTCTTTATATAAAAATCTGTTTTATCTAGCACATTGCAGGTATTATTTCACTATCTTTTGACTGTAAATAATTTGGCCTCAGTATTGCTTTTAAAATTCAGTTGTAGCTTTCCTTCTTACTTTTTTTGAAGGTTATCTCTCTCTCTGGTCACTTTTAAAATATTCTCTTCTTTTGGTATAAAATTCCACTATGATAATTCAGTGTGTAGATTCTTTTTTTAAAAAAAAATTCTGTTTTAGATTTGTTGGGCTTTTTAGAAACTTAGATTACTATTTTTTTTTTAAGTTTTATAGTTTGAAGAGAAATTGCCAAAAATATTTTGCTTCTTATTTCTCTTAATGCCTATACAACTGTGGATTTTTATGAGCTCTTTATACTGTTTTCTATGCCTCTTAACCTTTTGTTCGTATGTCCAATGTCCTTGACTACTTTGGTCTGAGCAATTTCCTCTGTCTTTCAGTTCACTAATTCTCTTTTAATTTGTCTAATCTGCTGTTAAATCTGCCCTTCACATTTTTTGTTTTTAGTAATACATTGTTTATTCATGGGAGTTCTGTTTGGTTCTTTTGAAAATTAGTTTGTTCTGCTATATGGTGTTTATTTTGTTATTTATTTTGTTTGTGTGGACGTGAGCGATTAATGCTTATTTTTCTCAGAAAATTTATTTTTCTCTGTAACTGTGGAGAATCATTGAAAGTTGGGTTTCTCCAGAGAAGAATAGAACATTATTTTGTTATTTGCCTAGGACCCCTTCCAGTTCTTGACCTCTTAAAATAAATTCTGAGCTTGAGGTTTTTCAGAACAACCAAATGGAATTTTAAATTGTAATTACCCTTGTGAGGTCTGGTTTGTGGTTTTGAATTCCCAGGAGAAATGTTTTCTTGCCTCTCTTCAATGCCATGGCCCAGGGCAGTGCTTTTTCTTTTCTTCTTAGTTTTTCAAAAGTCCCATTGGAACATGCAACTCACTTGGAGTAAGGCAACCTCATGCTGAGGATTGTAGCTTTTTGAGTCCCGGACCCGCCCCCACCCCCTCTTTAGGTGGGTCAAAACAAAAAAGTTGTAATTGAGTTTACCCACTTTGGCAAATCCTTCAGGGTGAAAATCAGCTATAGAGAGCTCAGTTGACCTCTTCTGTTCTTCATTTAACTTTTGCCCTGAATATTCCTGGCTTTCTTGCCAACTAATGAGTGCATTTAAAATGGTTTACCCAATATTTTCTATTATTTTCAGCAGGAGGGTCAGTAAAGGTTCTTGGTATGACATGTTGCTAGAAATGGAATCTGCCCCCCCCCCATTCCCATGTAGTGTTTGTGAACATCCAGTCACACAAGTAGTTGTGTAGCTAGGAAGCACTTTGAGGGTTTGTATTCTACGTATTACATAACTTTTCTATTTTAAAATCTCAGTTGTTTGGTGAAGGGGGTATATTTTTATTGTCTGTGTTTTACAAATTGGTAAACTAAGACTTTGAGGAAGAATCTGAATATATATCTGGTGACTATGAGTAGGACTAGGATTTAGATTCTTGACTTTGTATTTATAACATAATTTTGTTTTCTTTTCACTATGTCATCTTGCCAAAAATTTCAATGTTAACATTTGATGTCTCCTGATTATTTTTTATCTAGATATGAAAATTCAAGAGAAACTATTGAAATAATAATATCTGTATAAAATTATAGCCCTGCATTCAAATTGCTTAAGGTTTCTGCAGTGACATAAAACAATATATTGACTTATGTTTTAGAAAGCAGTGAAAAAGTTGAGAGATGTTCTTTTTTGCTGTTGTAGGATTTTGAGGTACTTTCATTGTAAAACATAGGTAATTATTGTCTTTTCCAACAGGTGTGTATGTAATATAGATTGCAGTGGATACAGTTTTAATCCTGTGTGTGCCTCTGATGGGAGTTCATATAACAATCCTTGTTTTGTTCGAGAAGCATCTTGTATAAAGCAAGAACAAATTGATATAAGGCACCTTGGCCATTGCACAGGTAAGATCACATGGAGACCTGTCTTTAGTATTACATGCCTATAATCTTACTTGGTATTATTTTATATTTGTAAAATGAGAAATTCCTTGAAATTTTTTTGTCTTTTTTTTTTACATCTTTCAGAATTTCCTGTTACTTAGATATTTTTTTCACTTATTTTTGTCTTCTGAAGACCTAAATCACGATGCTTGATGGTTTATTTAGTACTGAGCTGATCCTGGCATGGAGATTAAGATTTATATTTATATTTATAGTTCTAAGGTGATTTCAAATATATTATCTCTATGTAGTTTTTGCCCTATATGTGTTATATGTACAGTTAAAGATTTTGGCGTGAAATTACAGAATAGAAAGAAATGATACCCTTTGGTTTAAAATTGTTTGCCATTCTCACTTTTGTTATAAGATACCGTATAAGAATGATTTTGTTTGTTTGGTTTGTTTTGTTTTCCACCCCTGTGAGAAATAGTGGCAGTCATTGAAGCCAGAGGTTCTCAAATCATTTTTCCTCACTAATACTCCTATGAGCTGGGGTGTTGAAGCACTTCCTCAGTAGCATATATGGAAGAAGCACATTCTTACGGATGAGGACTGTACATCTTTTCTGCTTACTAGTTCGACTTCCTACCCATACCCCTTCCTTTTTTGGGCTTACTTAAGGGATACTTTAGGAGTGTGCTATTAACTGAGCTAAAAGAAAAAGATTGTATGCCAAAGTTTGCTGCCTTATCTTGAATAAATCTTTGTGACATACTTCCCAACTGATTGCAGTAACAAAAAGTACTCAAGAAGCTCATCAGAGGATTTCCAGATGTATGATTTTGGGTATGATAGAAAGAGGCTTTCCTGACAAAGATCTCCTGCAGATAGATATTCTTCTTGACTTTAATCTTGAAGTATGACTTCTTTTATTCATTGGGTAGTATTGAGAGCCTAGGTAGGAAGAATAGCTCAGAGAAAGAGTATCTTCGCTGAGGAACCTGGTATCTGATTGGTAGTTCCTGGAATAGCACTTTCAGAGCATTTGGCCAAACTTGAGAATTTAAATTGAAATTCATGCAGATTTTAGATTGCTTTGGAATGATTGGGCCTTAAATTTTATTTTAGCCCCTTCAGTAATTTTCCAGTCAAGCCTAACTGTGCCTTTTTATTATCTCCCTGGCTATGTATTGAGATCCAAAGCTCTTATGTGCTAGCAGGTATTTATGGTTCTTATTCAGTCTCCTAGTTCAGATGCAGCTCATAAATCAAGTGTTTTTTTTTCCCCTAGAAAATGTTTGATAACACAATTGAGATTCCAAAATAATTTTATTCTGAGTTTTCCAGGAAAACTGGTAGAAGATAAATCTTTAGATCATTGTTCCTTGGAGAGAGTGTGAATTCTTTCTCCTTATGGTATGTGTTGTTTTAGTTTACACAGGAAGGATTTTTTAAAAAGTAGATGATATTTGAGCTAAAGTCCAAATGAAATTATAGTTCATGAAGTAAAGAACATATATACCTGTGCTCCCTTGAAGCCTGAGGCAGAAAAGGGACAGTTGACAAAGAGGAAGGTAAAAGCCATTCCACAATGTTATATGTTTCAAAGCATCATTTTGTATACAATAAATATACATAGTGTTATCTGTCAGAGAGAGAGAGTGAGAATGGTGGGAAATATAAGCAGGATAATTGTACAAAGTTAAAAGGACCTGGAGCATTAGGAATAATTGAGTGTTCCATGGTATGACTTCAATATCATATGTTAATTTGAAAAACTGTATTCTCTTATAGACACAGATGATACTAGTCTACTGGGAAAGAAAGATGATGGACTACAATATCGACCAGATGTGAAAGGTACCAAATCATGATTATCCTTGGCCATAAGTCCAATGCTCTGTATGCTCACATGCATTATTTTATTTGATTCTTACTGCTGCCCTAGTGAGAAGGGCCTTATACCCACAGGAACACTGAGACTCAGTGCTGTTAGATCCAGTTAACTGAAGACCACCTGGATTTTGGACTCCTTGATTAGGACTTCCATATAATAGTCCTATTATCAGTGCATCTTCTACTAATTTGTTTGGTTATTCTAATGGACAGTTAGGATATGTATGTAAGCTACCTCATATACCTAATTTAAAAAAAAAGTAAAATAGCAACTATCTTAAAAAAAGTAAAACAGTACCTATCTTAAAATTAAATGAGATTATACACATCAAATGCTTAGAATAGTGTCTGGCCTGCTTACTGAGTACTCAATAAATGGTAAGTATTATTGTATTGAATAATTTATTACTTCCTTTACTTGAATTTTTAAGCCTGAACCTGAAATACCAGTTTCCCATGATGATACAAAGTACTATATTTGAAATAGAAAATCTTTTCTATTCCCAGAGGCGACATAATAGATTATTCCAGTTTTATTCTCTATACTGATAAAACATGACCAGAACAGGAAGGCTATTTTTCAGTATTTAGAAGCTCATACTGAAGGCAGTCTGGGGAACTGTATATGCCTCAAACACTTGGTGGTGGTTGATAAAATCACTTAATAATATGACTGTATGTTGATAATTTAGTATTTTTTTATACATAAGTATTGATCTATAACGTTAGCTGGGTGCTGTGATGTATATCTCTAATTTCAGCTACATGGAAGGCTTGAGACAGGAGGATTGCAAGTTGGAGGCCAGCCTGGGCAAATTAGTGAGACCCTGTCTCAAAATAAATAAATAAAAATGGCTGGGGATGTAGCCAAAAGTGATAGAGTGCTTGTCTAGCATGCACTAGACCCTGGGTTTGATCCCAGCACATTGATCTAGAACTAAGTTTATTATATACCTAATTTGTACTGTTCATCTTACTAGACATTACCTGTGGGTAGAAAGATATCTAGTACATAATCTCTACATCTTTATAGAGTTTGTGCTATAGTAAAAAACAATGCATATAACTAATTTGTAACGAAGTAGAAATTGATTATAGTCATAAAATGTAGTAAAGAAGTGAATTGGGAATTCAGAAAAGATAAGATTACTCTTTGGTGGGGGAAAATGAAAGTCTGAGAAATATCATGAAGGAGGTAGAATTTGAGTGAATGTTGAAAAGGAGTATTAGAATTTGAGCAGGAGTCAAAGGGTATTTAAGGAGGAAGAGCAGGAGCAGAGTTGTGGACATAAACATTATGGTAGAATGTGTTGGAGAATGGTAAGGAATCCTTTTTGGCTGGATTACAGGACTTTGGAGAGAGAAAGAGGCCAGACTAGAAAGAGCTAGGGGTGAGATCTGCTACCCTGGGAAATTTAGACTTTATTTATGGGCAGTAGGGAATCATTAATATATTTGAAAACAAACCTACAAAGTTAACCACTTGAATGAATGATACCTGGCAGGAACATTTTGCTTATTATATATATTGAAATGAAAACCTTTGGGTGGACTCAGAATAGGCATCTGCTTACACTCAAGACAAAGAGCTAAAAGTCACCAAGACTTAAGCTCAGGTGACTGAGTTCGTGGATTCTTCTTTTAGGACTAAGGATGCTGGGAAGGGAAAGGTGTTTGGGGTAAAGATAAGAGAAAAGTCGATGGTGTAGGTGATTAATTGCATTTTGGAGTTTCAGGTGTTTGTGGAATTCATCCAGGTGACTGTTTAGCATAAATCTGAGAGGCAGTCCTTGGATATAGAGATGATAATGGAAGCCATGAGAACGAATGAGAGAGTTTCTAGCACTACACTGTCTAGTACAGTAGCCACTGTCCACATGTGGCTCTTGAATTAAAATGAAATTCTAGTCCTGTTTCAGGTGTTCAGTAGCCACTTGTGACATGTGGCTGCCACAGTGTATAGCACAGGTATGGAATATTTCTGGAGTTGTAGAAAGTTTTTTTGGATAGTACTTACTTAGAAAGGAAAGAAGACCCAACTTGGGAAGAAGCATACAGGATTAAGAGGAAGGCAACCAAGAAAGGGTATTGTGGTACAGAAGCCATGGGGAAAAGATGGCTAATGATGTGCAATAGACAGTGTTGTCCTCTGCCTTGAATTTGAAGGCAAATGGAATCATTAAAGTCTTGGGCCAGAGAGTTTCTATAATTAGAAAGATAAAATCCAAACAGTGAAAGACTTAAGAAGTGTTCCAACAGTAAGGAGATAGAGGTCAAAAGATTTATTTGGTTGTATTTTTAAAAACTTCATTTGCTTTTTTTTTACCTGCCTCTCACAACAGTTATAGGAGCCTTCAGTAAATATTTGCATCTGCAATACACAGCCAAGACTGTGTAGATACACAGGACCTAGGATGGGTCCCCAAAGTGACAAGCAGGAACTTTGCACCAGCAAGAAGGCAGACAGACCGAGAAGGAGTACTCAGTGAGAGAAAGCTTTGAGAGTGGAATTCTTAGAAAAGAGTGTTGTTAAACTGGGCACTCAAATGTCTGAAATGCTGGCTGGTTTAGATTCATCTTGGGCTGTTGGGATCCTGTGGTAAATATTGAAGTAGGAGTGTTAACTGGTTCTGTTGTAGATGTTGAAGTCATTAAGGATGTGATGATTGAGTGTCAGGTATATGGGAAATGGGTGCTTGACATTAAAAAAAACTTTATTATAGAAAATTTCAGAGATAATGTAAACAGAATAATGAACGAACCCTCATGTACCCAGAACTTACCTTCAGTATTTATCAACATTGTTGTTCTTGTTTTGTCTGTTTACCTTCACCCACATTATTTTCATTATTCTCATTTGCAGATTTTTTTTTCTTTTGAGGCATAATTTGCAATATAGAAATGCACAAATCTTACATGTGTCAGTTTTTAAAAAATTTTTTTTTGTTTTTGGTACTGGGGATACCAGGGACACTTAACCACTGAGCCACATCCCCAGCCCTTTATATTTTATTTAGAGACAAGGTCTCACTGAGTTGCTTTAGGACCTCACTAAGTTGCTGAGGCTGGCTTTGAACTCATGATCTTCCTGCCTCTGCTTCCCAAGCTGCTGGGATTACAGGTGTGCACCATTGCACCCAGCTATAAGTGCCAGTTTTGACAAAAGGATGTACTCTATGTGCATCACAACTTACCAAAGTTGATAACATGTCCATCTACCTGGGAAGTTTCTTTGTGGTATAGACATTTTAATCCAAAGATATTTTCATATGGGCCGGGGATGTGGCTCAAGCAGTATCGCGCTTGCCTGGCATGTGTGGGGCACTGGGTTTGATCCTCAGCACCACATACAAATAAAATAAAGATGTTGTATCCACTGAAAACTGAAGAAATAAATATTAAAAAATTTTCTCTCTCTCTCTCTCTCTCTCTCTCTCTCTCTCTCTCTCTCTTTAAAAAAGATATTTTCATGCAGCTTAAGATCTAAATGCCCTTTTCCTACAAAGACATTCTCATTTCATTCCAAGGATCACATCATCCCAACCCTCATATCATGATTGACCTCATTCTTGAGCCTGCTCAAGAATGCTACTGCTGGCCAAGGATACCATAATTAGCAAGATGTTAGTATCATGGGTCCCATTTCTTGGTGACTGTTGCTTATATATTTCAATGCAGCTTTTTGATATACCTTTTAAAAATGATGAGACTGTGGTCCAGGTGTTGAACTCATTGAAGGAGGCCTGACTGTGTGTGATGGAGCATTGTGACGAGGGTGGTTTCAGGTCTCCTGAGAGGCTGGGCATGTGAGTGAAGGACTGGCCTGGAAGTGACCTTGGTAAGCACATTACCGGGAGGTGTGGAAGGAAAAGAGATCGAGGAAGCAGTTTGGTCTTAGAACATCAGGGAGATGAAAGGAGTATTTTCTAAGGGAATAGTTGAGAAGATAGACGAATTTATTCACTTCTTAGAAAAGGTGTTTCACTGGCAGAGTGGGAAAAAGAATAGTCAGGGCTGGGGTGAAGAATAGCCAAGTTTAGAAATGAGAGGCTGGGAGGTGTTGGAGAGTAGGTAGGAATGATGACCCCTTAATGGGGTCCTAGGAGGCTGGGATTGGAAAAGGAAGCATGTGTGGAGAGAGATGTTAGTGGTGAAAGTGGGTATGCACAGTAGTTTAGGGGAAGCCAGACAGTGTTTTGAGTTTTTTCACTGGAGGGATTTATAGAAATACTGAGCTTTAGAGTTTCTGACACAGTGTTGCTGTAGTTTCTCCTCAGTGCTTTACCTTCCAGGTGCATGTCTCAGCTGCTGGCAGCAACTCTTCATGCTTTGTGTGGATTGTTCCCTGATGGGACAGATAGCCAGGACAGCACGCCTTGGCAGATTAGCCCCTTGGTCCTAGGTTTTCTCATAACATCATCACTTAGGACCATGCTAGCCTTTGTGTTTGGAAACACTGCTGATGGTGACAGATTTGTCTGTGAAAACATCTGTGGACAGAAGGACCCACTGGGTGACCAAATGCACTTTGTATATTGCACACATGGAAACATTGTTCAGGCACTAGCAGTTGCAGCTGTTTGTGGAGCCTGTCACCACTTGCCCCAGGGCATTGTTTAGACAGAATTGTTCTGTGGTGAGTTCTTCCTGTGTGAAGGGCACATTTCTGTGTTGGTTTCTGAAACTATGCATTATTGCATTTTTTTGGAGGGGGTGGTTGCTGGTGATCAAAGCCAGGACCTCACATAGTCTTCTTTGCATCTCTAAAAGCTTTCTATCTCTCCATTTTGAAGTTGTCTAATTTATCTGGTCTAGAAAGCAGGTGCTCAGACATTCCTAACATATCTCCACAGTAGCTTGATGAGATGATAGTAGAATGGCCACACTCTTGCCCTTTGGAGTCAGACTTGGTCCACACTTAAAAGCTGTGTGGCCTGATTTCTTTAAGCTTTGATGATCCCATC